AGCCCAAGAAGTGGATTTTGTTCACATGTATTTGTGTGGTATTCACAGGGTGCTGTGCTACTTAGTTCCATGCGTCGGCTATAATATTGATTTCTGACATTAATTTATGGCACACTTTCTACAGAGATAAATTCACGTTTTTTATTGTTCTGGATTTATTAACAATAAGTTACTTTCATTCGATTTTTGAAATCACTATTTGAGTTTCCTTTCGTATATGAGTATTAGCTATATTCTATTTTTTTTTCTCCATGTCTTGATGTAGGACCCCTGGATTGGGGAATTTCTATTTTATCATCGGTTGGCTAGTCAAATTCCCTAAAAAAAAACTGTTTAGATCGTACTTATTCAAATTTTTCAGTATATAAGTGCATACCTATATATTGATTGTTAATGCTACATCGAAGCCTTGGACCTGTGGACACTAACACGGCGTCTGCAGTAGGGTCCGAGGCAGAAATGAGCAAGCCCTTCACAGGGGAAACCGTTTTTCCCTTTGATAAAGGTGACAGGGGGATGGTTGGGGGCGAACATCCTACTTATCCTTCCACTATACTGTCTACCTCTCTCTCCAAAATGAATGAAGGGGATAAGTTTATGCGGGATTCGAATCGTTTCAGTTCATCACGACAAAACTCTGACATGCATTTGAGGAGAAGCGGTCACAGCAACCTCGAAAAGTCTGTATCCTTGTCAAATGCTGGAACTTATTCTAGCCCACCAACGACCAAGTCCTCCAGAGATATATCGTACAAGTGTAAAATTGAGAATATGAAATCTGAAGATAAATGATGAGCCTTTTGCATGTGCTTCGAAGGACAATGAAAGCCGTAAAAGTTTCTCTGCTTTTACCATTTTCACCTATGCTGATTGCCTAGATATTATATTGTAAATATTCGGTTTTTTGTTCGCTGTTGCCTCCGGTTTGAGTATGCCTATCTTCGCCTTTTTGTACGGGAGGATCATACGAAAGCTGATTGATGCCAAAAACGGATCCGACATGCATGCACCCGTGTACTACATGTTGTACCTCGGTCTTGGCCTGAGTGTCGTTTCCGCGGGTCGCGTCTTTTGTTGGACCCTGTCCGCAAGTCGACAAGTCACCCGCATTCAGTGGCACTTTTTCAGAGCCTGTTTGCGGCAACAAATCGGCTGGCACGACCTGCACAGCCCTGGGGAGCTGACCTCCCGCATCTCTGGTGACACGCGGATTATTCACAATGGCATTAACGAGAAGCTCGCACAGGGTATTACGAATTTATCTACGGGGGTGTTTGGCCTCATTCTGGGATTAATCTTATCTTGGGAGCTCACACTTGTGATGGCAAGCGTCCTTCCAGTCTTCTTCATCATAACCATTTTTGTGGGTAAGCGCATAAAAGAGATGGCTGAGGCTACACGTAGAAATTATGCTGTGGCAGGCTCAATTGCAACAGAGGTAATGTCGAATATTAAAATTGTGCAAGCCTTTGGAAAGGAAGAAAGCGAAATGAAGCGGTTTCATGAAGCTGCCTTGAATGCACAAATATTTGGCATAAAAATGAGCTTCCTAAGCTCTATAACTCCTGGTGTATTTATGTCAATCTGTCTTGTTCTGTATTGCGTCGGCCTTATTTTCTCCTCATACTTCATGCAATGGGAGCGTGCCGGCGTAGACGATATCATTTCTACGTTCATAATGCTTCTGGCATCTATCTTTTCATTCTCTTCAATTACAAACAGTATGATGGCCTTTATCGAAGCACGTGCCGCCGCTCATGAGATATTTCAGGTCATCAAATCGTCTCCGGAAATTGATATAGATGCTGAGGGGGAACCAGTAGATAGCTTTAATGAAAGTATTGAGTTGCGCGACGTGACGTTTTCCCACCCCGCTCGCCCAGACATGGTACTCTTTCGAGACTTGAATCTCACCATCAGGAAGGGCCAAAAGGTAGCATTCTCAGGAGTCTCCGGCTGCGGGAAGTCCTCCATAATTGGACTTATTCAACATTTTTATGATCCCAACGACGGTCAGTTGCTGTGCGATGGCGTCGATATGCGTCGTCTGTCGTTGAAGGACTGGCGTAACCAAATCGGTGTCGTGTCACAGGAGTCTAGTCTCTTTGCGGGATCGATGACGTATAACGTGCGATTAGGAAAGCCAACCGCAACCTTTGAAGAGGTTGTTGAGGCATGCAAAAAGGCAAACATCCATGACACAATCATGTCCTTGCCTGCGCAGTACGACACATCCGTTGGTGCTGTCGGTTCACAGCTGTCGGGAGGTCAAAAACAGCGTATTGCCATCGCTCGTGCGCTAATCAAAAAACCTTCCATTTTGTTACTGGACGAGGCTACTAGTGCACTTGACCTCAAGTGCGAGATTGAGGTGCAGGAGGCCTTGGACTCTCTCATAAAGGATAGTGGCATGACTGTCATCATCGTTTCTCATCACTTATCCACGATCCGCGATGTAGACTGTATCTATTACATTAGACATCATGATGCAGAGGGCAGCATTATTGCTGAGAGTGGAACTTCTGATGAACTCATTGCTCAGAACAGCGAGTTCGCTGCTATGGCTAGGGTTCAGGGAGCTTTTTCAAAATCTCAAGTGGGGACCACGGGTGGGGCCCGAGGTGTTGTGGAAGTTGGTTATTCGAACATTGTTCTTGATGATAAGGCACTCTCCAAGCTTGAAAAAGAGGCGCCGCTTACGGAGCGGCAAAGGGTCCCTATCGAAAAGCTTGCAAGTTGGGAGGCTAACCATACAAAGGTGGGATCAGGTCGAATCATGAGCTACTGCAAGGATTACACTTGGGCTGTTGCTTTGGGTGTTCTAGGTTCTGCTATATCAGTGTCGGTTTTCCCCGTGAATACCGTTGTGTACGGATATATTCTCGATGTGCTTGGTTCGTACACTTACGATAAGGATGCTCACAAATTACGGAAAAATGCGAACCTGTACGCGCCACTCTTTCTCATTTTTTCCGTCGCGAGCTTCCTCGGCGTTTTCTTTCAGACCTTTTATGGATATGTCGGCCAGAAGCTTACGACGCGCATCCGCACACCCCTGTTCAGTCGAATCCTTCATCAGGACATGAGCTTTTTCGACATTCCTGGTCGTGATGCTGGTAGTCTTTCTGCAATGCTCTCCGGTGACTGCGAAGCAGTTCACCAGCTGTGGGGTCCTTCCATCAGCTTCAAGATTCAAACTCTCAGCGGGCTCATTGCTGGCATGTTTATAGGTTTTGTGTTTGAATGGCGGCTTGCATTGGTTATGCTTACGTGTATGCCCCTCATTGCGAGCTCTATCTATTTCCAGGATACACTTTACTTGAGGTTTATCAATAAGGACAACGATAACAATGAATCCATCGTCACAGAGTCCTTGTCCAACATACGTACTGTTGCTTCATTCAACCTCAAAGATGAATTGACAGCTGCTTTTCATGAGTTGCAAGCTAACAAATCATCGAAGGTGATGAAAAGGAGCATTATTATTGCCATTTGTTACGGCATCGCGAGGTTCATTTTTTATGGTGTTATGGCGCTCTGTTATTGGTACGGTGGTGAACTTATTAAACAAGGTAAGACGGAATTTCGGAATGTGGTTATCTGTATTAGTTCATTAATGATGGTTAGCATGGAGGTAGGGGATGCAGGTGGATTCGCCACTAAAGTAGCCGATGCTCACAAGGCTGCTAAGCATATCTTCAGTGTGATTGACCGCACTCCAGACATAGACTATTCTATAAAAGGTGACGTTGATATCGGTGCCGGGTGCCAGATCGATTTCGGTAAAGTCTTGTTCATTTACCCCGCGCGGCCAAAACAGGTTGTGCTGGACTCTATCGATCTCCAGTTCAACAATACGACATTCAGCGGCCTCATTGGAGAGATAGGCTGCGGGAAGTCTACCATCATTCAAATCCTTGCTCGCTTTTATGACAAGCGGTCTGGTAGGATTACTGTAAATGGTAAAAACCTCGAAGATATCGATATCACTGAGTGGCGCAAGAATATGAGTATTATTCTACAGGAACCTAACCTTTTTTCAGGCACGGTACGCGAGAATATTAGATACTCAAAGGATGACGCAACAGATGAGGAGATTGAAGCGGCTTTAAAGTTGACCGATATTCACGAGGATGTCTTAAATTGACCCGAGGGATATGACACACAGGTGGGCTACATGGGCCGGAGCCTGAGCGGTGGTCAGAAGCAGCGTGTTGCGATTGCAAGGGCTCTCCTGCGAAGGCCCAAACTCCTGCTTGATGAGGCTACGAGCGCACTAGACAATGTGACGGAGGCCAGGGTTCAGCAGGGTATTAACACGTTTCAAGGCAAGACAGGTGCTACAACGATTAGCATCGCACATCGCTTATCCACTGTCCGAAACTGTGATCGTATTATTTTGATGCATTCTGGCCATGTCATTGAACAGGGAAGCCATGATGAACTCATTCGCTTAGGCGACAAATATAAGGCGCAATGGGAAGTCTACAACAAGTCTTTCCAGTAAAACAAAATAAAAATAAGGATGTATGAATGTTTGTAGGGAGGAAACTCACGCAATTAATGAATGTTGAGATATCCTCTTCTTTTTACTTCCCCCCCCCACGCACGCACGTGTAAAATAGTATCAGCAATAATGGCATTTTATGGAATTGACATATTAGACGTGCATATTCTTTATTGTATGTGTAAACCCTGACTAACACAGCATGTTTGATAGATATATGAAGAATTCCTTTACACCTAAGTATTTTCCATTTGTTCAAAAAAGTATCGTGAGGCTGAACTTGCATCAGTGTGCATTTTGCATCATGATAAATCGTGAAACTAAGAAAGTAAATAAATAAATAGCCTACTTATATTCCAAGACTTTTTTGTATTGTAAGAAATGAAATTTCCCGCGGTATATGCCGGCCACCTCTTTGTGGTGCCGCGGACTAGTAGCCAATTGGCGAAGCTAAGTGCATGCGCACCTTCCCGTTACCGGCGGAGGCATGTAGGCTTGGCTACTGGTACTGGTATGGCATTCGACAGGGCCGCCCCGAGGCTGTCCGAGCGGATGAAACACTCCGACTGAACTGTTAACGCTTATCTGGTCTCCAGATACAGCTTCAAATACACTAAGGGCATCCAAGCCTCTCTTCCTCGTACTTCAGATCTACTCCTCCCCCTCCCCTTTATAGTTTACTTAGTTGAAGTCAAGACTCGTTGTTTACACATCTCATTTCTGATTTTAATGGCTTGCGACCCCATTGGCTGTGTGTGAAGGGATGCATAGGTGATCAGCAACTATTCTTGCAGTAATTTGACGACTCCTCAAATTACAAATATGATCCGATCAGTGAAAACAAATAGACTACTTTCATGAGCAAATTCGATGTACTCACTACCATATTACGACATCTCAGCTCGTCTGAAAACGGAATTCCATGTATTGGTGATCTTGAAGCTTCAACACATTTTTAAAATGTATATTTCTTGTGATGGAATTGATATAGAATCTTTTCATCAATGACAATCTACCATACGGTGATAAGATGGGTTTGTCATTCAAAGCCCGAATAAATTTTAATGCAACGCGGAGAAATATTCGGTTGTACATAGCGGAAATTAAAACGTAGTTTTATGAGTACTGGCGAGGACGGCAACACCATATGGAAATTCTTCCACAAGATGGGGCCAATCCTCGCCTTTTTTCCATTTCGCTAGCCGATGGGGGTAACAATGCTGTTACGCAGCATGTGCTTCCGCCTTATAAACACAACTATCAAACCCCTTAGGAAGGAACTAAGAGCTGATAAATCAGTAACAAAAAAATTCCACCATCCAAGAAACAAGGCTGCACGTGTTGTAGTCGGTTAAGTTGCATTAGGTGGTGCCCTGTTATGGCACGCTTACCGCATCGTGCCACACCAACTTGGTGAAGGTCCAGCAAAATTGCGTTTTAGGGGAACTGTTGGAAAAGCTGGTGTTCATGGTGTTGCATATATGCCCTATTGCAATGAGTTGGTGGGACTGGTGCGTTGTACCTATGAATCTTGGATAGACAGTAATCTTCTTCAAGTGCGTACTGCTTTTGGACGAATTTTATCTGTTTCAGCCATGAACTTTCTCTATGAGTTCCCCAACACGCAAACAAGCATCTTACATACTATCCATCATGTTAGATCTCACTACAGGAGGATACGACAATCGTATCCAAAACGGTGAACCGAGGGTTCTCTTCTCCAGCAAAGTTTATGTTGATGCCGCCTTTAGAGATTGAAAAATTGAAAGTACAAACCCTTGAGCCTCGCAAAGGGGAGTGTTATTGCACTGCCGAAGAATGCCGGCACATAGAGGAGGCTGAAATGTGTCAACAGGAAGCACCGTGTGAGCAGCAGTGCGAGGAGGTTGAAGAACTCGTGTGAATAAAGTTGAGGCTACACCAAAGGTGGAGCAAGATCGGCCGGTGAGGCAGAAGATTTCTCAGAAAGCATCAAACACGCTCATCAAAAATACGCACAACCATCACTCGCTCCTCCAGTCAAAATTGACAAAATAAAGTGAACAAGATGCGGGAGGGTGGAGTTTACTGCTTAATTCTATTGTGCCTAGCACTTTTGAATGATTTAGCCACGTTATATCCGAGTTTTTTTTAAATATGAAACCTATTTAAGAGCATTTCGATATGCGTTGCTGTGTCAATGCCAAAACACGAAAGAAAAGAATGCTGGCACATATACATTTACCATATTTATATCATTTTCCATAAAATACACTAGAGTATTCACATTAAAGATTGCTTTTATAATATTATCACTTGCAATACGCCCGATACGGACACACACAGAAAGATACTTACAAAAAAGAAACAACTAATAAATAAAATCAACTAAAAAAGTGACAATGTCCCAGGACCCCAGCATTAACGCGATGCTTTTGGATATGTGCGCCAAAGCTCAGGACAGTGCCAAGCATGCCGACACAGCCTCCACCCCTGTCACACCTGACCCTGCTGGCAGCGATGTGATCATTGTTGATGAAAACTCCAATAACGCCCCTGTTAGAGAGTCGTCCTTACCAGCATTGAGGTCCATCGACGATGCACCAGGTCCTGCCAAGTCAGAAGATACACCACAGCCAAATGTCACGGTTGCTGGTCGAAATCCAAAGGATTATGAATGGCTGCGTGAGGCATTGGCCTCTGTCGAGTCTCCTGAGCGTCAGGTAAAACGGCTGCTTGATACGGTCGAGAAGCCGGATGTTTCTAAAGATGAAATGATCAGTGCTTTGGAAGAGCTGTCGGATTTGGTTGAGGATATCAACTGGGCTACTGAATTTGCGCTCATGGGCGGACCCAAACGTATGCTAATTTTACTTCAAAATTTAGACAAAAACGGTTCCGAAAGGTTTGCGGAGGGCGCCAGTGAGGTGCGTGCTGCTCTGGCTTCTATCGTTTCACACTCATCTCAGCAGCACGGACGTGTTCAACAGTGTTTCGCTGACGCAAAATGGGCGGACGTTATCGTGCCAATGCTCCTGAAAGAAGAATCTCCCACGACTCTGGCAGCTCTTTTACATGCATGTAGCTGTTTGTGCCGTAATTTTGAGCCCAACACTATTTCTTTTCTACAGCATGGCGGCATGGAGGTGCTAACATCATTACTTCAGAGGAAGCGTCAGCCAAGGATTGTTGGGGACCCCATTGATAACAAGATTTTAGGCCGCATTTTCTTCTTCGTGGCCTATCTCGCAAGCACTGGTGTTTCATCCGAGAAGATTATCAAGCTTACTTGTGAACATGTGGAAAGATCAGGCGACAAGAACAATGAGAATTACGGCGTGGAAAGTATGCAGCGTTCCGCAGCAATGGCACTATTCGAGCTTACCAAGAAAAGTCCTAGCTTGGTGAAGCGGCTGGTGCGGGAGTGCATGGCCAAACAGTTTCAGGCTTGGAGGCAACTTAACGTGTGTGCAGAGGATGAAGACCCACGTCGTGCGCTCACCGATGAGCTGGAAAAGTTAGGTTAATGAAAAGGGAGAACTATTTTAAAGAAAATATTTATCTTTATTTGGCTAAATGATATATCTAAAATTAAACATGCTGGTCAAAGTATTATTTTAATATTAGGAGTAAATTTTGATTAGATATACCCAGAGCAGCGCAACGTGACTATTGGGGATCGTATATTTGTGACATATTTTTACATCACTAAGGATGTCTTACCAAATTTCGTTTCTACATTTTCATCTTCCCTCCTCCTTCCCTTTTTCCATTTTTGCATGTTGTACGTAAATGTTGGTGGTCATAAAATGAGAAAGAACAGAAAGGCATTAAATAAAAGGGATTCCTAATAGAAGGGGAATATAATAAACCGATCGAGAAGTAGTTATGCTCTTATCTGATGTCGTTATTTTTGGGACATTGCCTGAAGATTTGCTCCAAAAATCATCTCGTGGGGGCGTTTCTTGCGCGTTTCAGGGTATTTCTACAAATCGAGATGATACAGACAAAAAAAATCATGCCATAGAGGGGAAGTCCATAGTACTCGCACCAGACGCGTGTCTGTGCTTTACGCATACCGGGGAAGGAAAGCAGTGGCGTGCACGGCTGAAACCGTTTCAAGAACAATATTTGGGGAATGTTGAAGTAGTGTCAGCTACAACATCATCTGATCTTTCTTTAAAGCCCTGTTTAAACTTCACACCGGAGTGCCTGAAGTGTGCGTTGGTGCTTCTGGAGGATTCGTGGATATGTACCGAGCTGTCTTGCTCCAAGGCTTCAGTCGTAGCTCAGAGTGAATGGACGGAAAATGAGCAATACCAAATCCAAAAGCCACAGGTTTTGTCGGATTTTAAATCATTACAACAGGAGAATTTACCCTCATCTAAGGCTACGAATGCAAGTATTTCAAATACCTTGACAGCGGTTAGGGGTTGTGGAATCATATTACCTCAAGCATCACTAGAGAGTCTATTAACATCAAGTCAGCATCGTGCGCTGGTCCTGTCTGTAGCACACTACTTGGCCCCTTCTCCACGTTCCATGAAGGAAATCTTGAACTACATCCTCTCACCTAGATCAACGTTGACGGATAGTTCTAAAAAGCTTAGTGCACATAACAGTGATACAATTCCTATCAAATTCTTTTCCTTGCTTACTTCAGATGGGAGGCCTGCTTACCATCCGGAGGATGTGCAAAAGGTTGTTGAGTTACTAGCATCTAAAGGTACTTCTGGTGTACAGTTGGAGCTCAAGACGGAGGGCTATGCTCTTATCGATCTAAATAAATATGATAGCAAGCTTACAAAGCAGCGGGTGGCAAATCGAGCCTTTCCTAAGCTTTCGGCAAATTCTCAGAGTGCCATGCAATACGCATCTCTGTTGCGTGAGATGCAACTCTATGTAGATCGAGACTTGTTCGCCCGCGGCCGTGGAATCATGAGTGGGTTGGGAACAGCTAGCACGAATAAAAGAGATCGCTCAAGCAACATGGAGACCGGCTACGATGAGGATGGGCATGAACCGAGCGAAGTGAATAAGCACACCAGAGAGGAGGAGCACGCCGAATCAAAGGTACTAGCACAATACACAGATCTTTCTCAGTGCGGTATTGAGTGGGAAAGTGGTGATCTTGCGTTGCTATTCGCCAACTCTGATTTACACCTTCAGGAGAGCATGGATCTCCTTAAAAGTCGTCAGGCGGCGCGGCTAGCACTTCTCGAGGAATCTTTCAGACAGTGCCAACTCCCCCCGATGATGATTACCTCTGACGAACAACTAGAGGAGGCGCTGCGGGACTACCAGAGGCTCTATAACCTTTATCAGATTCTGATGAAAGGCATGGAGTCACATGGCCACGTGAGCCACAGGGCAAGGGCTTGGTATGACCGCATCGAACCAGAGCGGAGGTCCGCGAGTTTGATGCAGCAACTAAAGGAGTGGTGGACGCGGCAGCAGCAACTACGTGAAGAATGGCTCCCCGTATATGAGACACTGCAACAAGAGACATTTAATCTGGAAAAAGAAATTATGAAATACTTAGACCTGCGTAGCCTTGGGATCATCTAAAAAAGAAGCATTGCTGCTGCACTCATTGGCATTATTTTCGGATCCCTGATCACTGCTCTTATTATTTTAGGATTAATGTGTTGAAGAATTAAATGTCCTATTAAAGGAAAAAAATTGCGCGGTACTGTCAAACTTTTTTTTTTCAAGTGAAAATTGAAATCAAGCGAGTGAACATTATTTTTTATTAAACCATAAATACATTTAGTAAACATAACATAAGGGTGTCTAAAAAGGGAAATAGAGGTGATTCACTTTTATGTCTAGAAACATGAATAAGTCAAGCTTATCAATTTTGCACAATAATGGAAACACTGGCAAGCCAGTGGGTTCCATAAATAGTGACGGGGATGCAGTTGCCCCTGAAAAGCATCCGTTTCAGGATATGAACCAGGCCGAAGTCCCTCCGCCATACCCTAATTACGTTGAGGGTCAGCCCTTACCTTTAACTGGAGGTCTGCAGTTGAAACCGGAGCTCAACATACCTTCCCCACAGGACGGAAAAATGCCTGATCAATATATGCTAGAGGATCACATTAGTTTTCTTCGTACTATCTCAGCCTTTCAGCACTATAAAAAACAAGCCATGGGCGTACGCGACATGCGGTACAAAAACTTTTTAACATTACAGAATAAACATCGTGACTTGCTCTGCGTTCAATTGGATACAATGTTTGAGCGCTATTCCCAATGTATTCAAGCCAACAGCACTTTTTTAGATGCCATCTGCAACTCTGGCGAGGAGCTCTTCAGGAGCTACTGGCCGGAGGGGACGACTGTACGAATGGAGGACGTGCCACCGCCTACTTCACTAGATATGGATAAGGTCTTCTCGACTCTCCGTCAATTTGTGCGTGACTGGGCTGGCGAGGGAGCTCCAGAGAGGGATTGCGTCTACAGTCCTATTCTAGACGCACTGGAGCGCTGCTTCCCTAACCGTCAGCAACGACTTAGTAAACGTATTTTGATTCCAGGTGCGGGACTGTGCCGACTCTCTGTGGAGCTCGCGCTGCGTGGTTTCTTTGCCCAAGCCAATGAATTCAGCTACCACATGCTCATCGCTGGGGACTACATACAGAATCATGTCACTGAGGCGTGTCAACATAAAATTTTCCCCTATAGCGATACTACCTGTAACTTAGTAAATCGTGCTGATCAGTTTGTCGAGGTACTCGTACCTGATTTATGTGCTTATGAAGCGATTGATGAGCTTCAGAACAAGGGTTTAGATTTTGGCGAGCTTTCCATGGTCGCAGGCGAGTTTACTGAGGTCTACTCGAAGCCGAACCAACACAAAACGTGGTCAGCGGTTGTCACGTGCTTTTTTATTGATACCGCGCACAACATCATTGAATACTTGGAAATTATCTACAATTTATTGGTCCCTGGCGGCTATTGGGTGAACGTCGGACCTCTTCTATACCACTTTGCCGACAGCGTTGAGGATATGTCGATTGAGCTTTCTCTCGGGGAAGTGTTGACGGTGGCGCAGCGCATCGGCTTTGTCTTGCTGTCCTCCCCGACGTTCATTGACACAACATACACGAATAATCAGCGAAGCATGAAGCAGTTAGTATACCGATGTGCATTCTTTTTACTACAGCGTCCACTTACCGATGAACGCAGAGAGCTTGGGAACGACAGTGTTTGGAATCCACCTGCGTAAGGTGCTTCTTTCCAATGAAGGGATTAAGGGCAAGTGAGTGTGGATGTGTGGGGGAAGAAGGGGCATACAAGACCAAATAAACACCTTATCAGTTATTTTCAAAGACTTGGGCATGTAATTTGCCTGCGATGCTTCTTCTCTGTATTTTCTTTTTCCATGCATGTTGGTGTTTAATGAGAGAAATTGCTCCACAAGATTGAAGTTCATCGCAATGGAACTTAAAGCCTCAAAAGCGTTTTCCAAAGTATGAATAGCGTAGTGGCACTTTGTGAGTGGGGCAGAGGATATGCCCGATACATGAAATTTTTACTATCCTATTTTTTATTGTTGCCCTACAATATAGCAGAAAAAAATGACCGTCCTTCTCGAAAAGAAACTCTTTTCCATGTGAATTTAATTCTTTCCGATCGTTGTTTTTGTGCTTCATAGAACTACAAGTTTGGGACAAATTCTAAGGATAGTAGATCTGAAGGATGCAGAACTATAAATAATGCGCTACTATTGTGTGTGTGTGTAGAACGACGATAAAAGAATAAAATATGAGTTTGGTGTAAATCAAACTTTGTGTTAGATTAAGAAAGCTAAGATTCGTATGATTTAACACGTAAGGATTAACGATATTAAAATGTGCTATTTTAATTCTTGCTTGTTGACTTTATTGGTTTTCTTGAGGTTTATATCGAATGAAAAGTATTCGTGCGAAAGAGTATTTTCGCAATAAAGCTCATACGTGCGTATGTATGCACGTAGGTAGACGCTTATTCAAATCGAAAATAATCTACTAATTGACAGAATCACTGAGTATTATCACTATTTTTCTTGACTTTATTATTATTAAATGCATGGTCTCGGAAACATACCTGGTTTCGCGTAATTAGGTAGCATTGAACTACTCCATTCAGGATTCTTTAAACAGACTATATATTTTATCATAAATGCTACTCGCTACCGTTTTGAGAAGTATAGTTCTTGCTTAAACTGCATACAAAAGCTATTCTCCCTCAAGTTGTCACAGGGGTAGGTTGGTGTGGGAAGTGGGGAGCTTAGCACAGACATGTCCAGAAATTATTCATTGTGCTTATTGAGAGTTATCTGTTCATATGCTATTGTATGTTATCATCTGATGCGAAGAATGAGAGCTTGATATTGATTTCTCCTCCGGTACTGTGCTTCACTATGTAGTCTTAAAAACCATACCAGGAACCTTTTTGTTAACGTCATAGTCGTGTGTCACAAGGGGTCTACTTTTTTTTTGGGGTTCTATATTGCATTTTTTAACTCCCTTGTTATGACATTATTATTAGGGAGAAAAAGGATAATGGGATAAATTGCCTTGGTTCCCATTGAAAGACATGCAACAAATAACAATTTTCAATGTTTTAATTTTCTAAGGTTTCTTTATCTTAGCACTTGCCTTCGATAAAAGACCAAAGGTGTAAATAATATAGACATTATATTACTAACGATGGGTGATTCCTTACCGAAAAAATACTCCAGAAAGTCCTCTGACAAGCAGAAAGAGAGCCGACTTGCACGCCAGCCTTTTTTATTGACACGCGAGGATGTGCAAGCTGCGTTTGAGTTTTTCGACACTCAACAATGTGGTCACTTGAGTGTTAGCACCCTGAAGGCCAGGCTCTCCGCCTTCTACCCGGACCTCACTAGCAAAGAATACCACTTTCTACTTGATAGCGTAGGTGTTGTGAAGGCAACGACTGGTACTAGCGCCACTGCCGGTAGCAGCGCTAGCAGCAGCACCATCACAATGGATCAGCTCTGGGAAATTATTGACATGTACCAGGGGGTACTCACGAGCTACAATCTTGAAGGGTCTTTGTTAAATCAGCAGATCGAAAGCACGGCCGCGTCGAGGCGCAAGTCCAATGTCAGTAATGTGCTACCCGCCGTGAAAAAAAACACTGAAGGCAACGCAGACTCAATGGCTGCGATAGCTGCCGTCGTTGCGTCCACAAAAAACATTGACTTTGATCCCGTACAAGAGGCCTTCCGGGTTTATGATCCCTATGGAACAAACTATGTTGATGTGAAAACTTTGGCTTACATCATGGCTCGCATCGGTTTCGGCGAGCTAAACGATGAGGAGCTGGATATTTTAGTGAAAACGGCAGATTTCGATCGCGATGGGAAAATTAGTTTTCAAGATTTCCGACGGCTGGTTGAAATGAGGACGGAGCGCATGAACAAAAATTGAAATGGGGTTGTGTTCTTCTTTTTCTCATTTTCAGTATCTTTGGTAAACGGGTTTTTCCCCACTATTAGCGTTTTGTCTTTTTCCTTCCCGTTTATGCCGTACATATTTCATATAATGCATGTAGAAATGGATAACTTTATCCTTTTAAAAAGGGCCAAACAATCTGAGAAGACATCAGAGAAGCATGTACATTACTAACCTTCTTTATATAAATGCTGGCCTTTGCTTTTGCAATGTGTGTGTGTGGGGTGGGACCCCATGTTCTGAGTGCATTGAGTTCCTCGGCTGCTTCTGTAGATATAATTATGAGGTTGATTTGTACTCTTCGTTTTATTTTTTACATATACTAAATGAGAAGAAGCTCAATTTGAAATAATCCTATTCTAGCATACTCACGCCAGCACATTGAACAGAAGGAAAATAACGCCCCAAGTAGAGGCCAAAATATTTCAATGTCGTCGTGTGATGACGTTGGAAACACCTCAGGTCGTTGTGAGACCACGACAAAAAATGGTGGTGCGGCCGTCGCGGCAGCTATGGATGCGAGCTCTGAGGCCTCCCAAGTGAGCCAAAACGACGGGAATAATGGCGACTTGTTCCCGTATATTGAGAAATTGCGCGAGAGCTTTCCTGTTGATACTGGAGCCTTTATGCCGATTAATGATCTTCTTGAGAGATTGAAGAGCTCCCATCCAGAAATCTTTGCGGACCTCGATCGCCTAAAGGAAGCAGCTCAGGCGGTTTCAAAGCCGAATGAATCCGTTTCCATCTCTTGGAAGGAAAGAGGAAACAAAGAATACGCCAGAGGGATGCTCCAGGACTGCATCCTGTCTTACACTCATAGCTTGATTTGCGCCGAGAAGGATGCCACGATAGCGACTATGCTCAACAACCGGAGCACAGCCTTTTTCATGTTAGGTCAGTATGTCAACGCATGCTTGGATGCTCACCGCACGCTTCGTTACAAGCCCGACTACTGGAAAGCCCTACATCGCCGTGGGCGCGCGCTAGAGGAACTAGGGTTTAAGGAGGCTGGGCAGAAAGACATCCTGGCGGCCTCGGAGGAGTCTCTCGAACGTAGCAACTCGTCCGACACGATCGAAAAAATCCTTGGGGATGCTCTGAGGTGTAAGGCCGACTTAGTCTTGCCCCCTCGAGCGACGCTCTGTGCGCCCCTGAAGGTGGAGCGGACAGTCCGAGGCCGCGGGCTCGTTGCCCGGCAACGCCTGGACTGTGGGACTGTGTTGGAGGAGAACCCCTACGCCCTGGTGGCACGTGCCGAGGTGCTGCTCTCTGCCTGTTCCTACTGTCTGCAACACACTAGCTGTCTTTACCCTGGGGATGAGTTTCGCCGTGCGGCGACCAAATCGCGTGGGCTGTTTTGCAGCGAGACATGCGCGGAGGCGGCGTGGCGGTATTATGGGCAGTTCGAATCTGCTAATCCATTCTTCCTCATGTGCCCGAACGATGCTCTCCTGGCAGCAAGGCTTGTAATGTGTGGAGAGCGACAGTTTCCGGAGGTGGAGCTGAACAATGCAGAGCCAGACTTTGACGAACTGAGCCACAACCGATTTGGCGCCACGCACATGCAGACGTTGGCTACCTTTTCGAAGGAGCTCCAGAATAATGCTGTGGTGGGCGGCTGTGAGTCGATTGTAGCAGCCATCGGGTTGCACATGGGAGCTTTCACACCATCCGAAGCTGAGCTTGTTCGCAAAGCACAACGACAGATCAACTCCAACGCGCTGGACGTGAGCCTTGTTCTGCGTCTCGGTCAGGGAAATGATCCTAACATGGGAGGACAATCTATGTTATATACCAACAGTAACGCACAGCTAGGAAAAGCTATGTATGCCATCGGCTCTCTCTTCAATCATGCTTGCGACCCGAACTGCTTCGCCTCCTTTGTGGGCGGCCCACGGGGGTCGAGCCCTAAGCTTGTAGTGAGGGCCATTAGGCCAATCATGGAGGGTGAGGAGCTGACCTTGGCCTATGCTGGTATCGATGCGTTTCACTCCCACAGTTTGCGAAACCGCTTGCAGACGCTGCGTAATCGCTGTGGTTTCATCTGTCGCTGCATGACTTGCATGAACCAGGTAGACGAGTCCGTTGGGACTGAAAGTAAGGATCACTATATCAAGGCTGCCGACTACTACCAAAAGGGATGTAAATTGACGCGCAATGGGAAGTATGACACGGCCGTGACGGTCCTACTGCAAAGCTACGAGATCGTGATGCGGTACATTTGTCCGCCGCCGAACCCACCACTGATGATGGTGCCCAAAACGCATAGGGCACTCGCTTTGGCGTACTACCACATGAATAACCTGGACAAGTGTGCAGAGCATCTGAAGGCAGCACTGGAAACCGATCTACTGATCCATAAAACAGATCACCGAGTAGAGATGATTAACGAATACACACGTCTGGCCGCCGTTGTGCAAAACCCCGAGGAACGAAAAGTTTACGGAGAAAAGGCTGTTGAACTTTTGCGCCTTTTTTACGCAGAATCTCCACTGCTGATGGTTGAGATAGCTAGTGTTCAAGCCATCTATAACACTACGAGCGTGAGAGGAAATGAATCTCAAAAATAATGAAAGGGAAAGAGCAGAACGAGCTAAATAACATAATGAAGCCATCCACTTTCAAAAATTATTGAATGCTGACTTTTGTTCTAAGGAATTCAATTCGTGTGTTTTTTCCCAAATTCTCATTATCATGTCCACGACAAGAAAAGAAATTGTTATTCTTTCGCGAAATTTGCACCCCTTCTTCTGTTTACCTTTTCTTTGAACAATTAGGTCCTGCTTTTTTTGTATTTTAACCTGTAGTTTTATTTGCAGAGATTCTCTAAATATATACATCGGCGTATAATTAAAAGCTTTATTTAGCTTCAGTATATTTGAGTCCCATATAGTGCATTAGTTCTTTTTTCCTTCCCGTTCTTGATTTAGAAGTATTCTGTAAGATGCTTCGGTGTTGCATGGGTAGGCTCATCTTACCTCGACCACTCGCACCATCCTGGGGTATTCGTCATCACCGCGTGTTCCCTTTCACGCCAGTTTCAGCAATAAGTTTCCGATACAGCAGCTTTCCCAGTAGGCCCACCTCGAACTCCGATGCCAGCGATCGTGCAGGTAATCAGGATATGAGCGGAGTCGAGTCACTAAGCACCAGTGGTGTCAAGCCTGGGGATGGGGAAACCCCCAGCAAAGGAAATGACACTTCGACACCGCGGGTATTGAGCGATGGAGGCAAATCCAACGGGACATCACCTTCAGCAGGGAGAGGTAGCAGCGGTGCGTCCGGCCGAAAGGATTCCCGCCCGAATCTTAAGATCCCTTTACCCGGAGACAAGGGCAACATTCCGAAAGGGTTTGAGTCTTTTTATGCGAAGCCACTGCTGGCGAGGATGCCACCACAACACAAGCCAAGCGATTCTATTGTGCGTGCCTATGGCGTGTTGCCAGAGGAGCGCATCATCATTATGGAGATCGCAACGCGGATGCGTCTCTTGAAGTTGTTGCGCAACTTGATGATCATCTCAGGGTTCGTGGTGGGTATAACCCTATATCGCTGGTACATGGAGGAGAGCAATCAGAGCGCAGACATCACGGACTACAAGAGCGTGGTCGTGGATGTGCCACGGCATACCGCAAGATTTCTCAACGACCGGGGGCGAACGGTGGGTGTCCGCTACTTTATTGATTTTGCGGAGTTCGAAAAGACTTGCGATCCGGAGAAGGACATATTGCTGGAGTTCTCATCCTACTTCCCGTGGGTGCCGATGTTGCTTTTGTGCCTCATGCCCATCTTGGCTGCTGTGAACGCGAAATTTAATGGCTCGGCCAAGATGGCCACGATGATGGCGCAGGCCGAAAAGAAGCGATTCAACTTTAAACGCGAGACGTCGGTGACTACGCGACTAAGCGATGTAGCGGGGCTGACAGAGGCAAAACATGAAGTGTTAGAGGTAGTTGACTTCCTCAAGCACCCTGAGCGATATCAGCAACTCGGGGCGAGACTACCCAAGGGCGTGCTGTTGGATGGGCCCCCTGGGGTTGGCAAGACTCTTCTGGCCAAGGCTGTAGCTGGTGAGGCGATGGTGCCGTTTGTGAGCTGTTCTGGAAGCGAATTCGACGAGGTGTATGTTGGTGTTGGTGCTCAACGCGTGCGCGAGCTGTTTCGGGAAGCGAACAAGTGCAAGCCGTGCGTCGTCTTTGTCGATGAAATCGACTCCTTTGGGCGAAAGCGGCACTCTGACAGCAGCGGAAATACACGTGGTACGTTGAACGCTTTCCTTTCAGAGCTGGACGGCTTCAAAGATTCCTCTGGTATCATAGTACTAGCGGCCACCAACCGTGCTGACATCTTAGACAACGCCTTAACGCGTTCAGGTCGCTTTGATCGCAAGGTATCACTCGAGAAACCATCACACAAGGACCGCGTGGCCATTGCCCTTGTGCATCTGCAGCCACTGTGTCTAGAGCCCAGCACCAAGCCTGAGGACTATGCTGAGACAATCGCGGCTCTGACGCCCGGCTGCAGCGGTGCGGACATCGCCAATATTTGCAACGAGGCCGCCATACACGCCGCACGCGGGGCGCAGGAGCACGTTACAACGAAGCACTTTCACGCTGCGATGGAGCGGGTGTTGATGGGACTCGAAAAGAGTGCGGTCAGATACACACCAAACGAGAAGGAGCGCATCGCCTACCATGAGGCTGGTATCGTGGTGCTGAACTGGTTCCAGGAGGGGACCGATCCGGTTATCAAAACGACCATCCTGCCGCGCGGGCAGCACCGCACCGGTGTTACGCAGATGCTTCCGAAGCGGGCTTACATCTCGACCGAAGAGCAGTTGCTGCAGCGTATTGTGGGGATCTTGGGTGGCTACGTTGCCGAGGAGTTCTTCTTTCACGATGTTTCCACCAGCGCCGCGAATGATTTACAAAATGCAACCAAGCTGGCGCTTGAGATGGTGTGCACCTATGGCATGGACCCTAAGAACATTGGACACTTTGGGTATGAGGTGGAGCGCCACGACGCAATTCAAAAGCCGTTCGGCCAAGAGAAGGAGAATGCTGTGGACGAATCAGTGGAGCGCATCGTGCATATGTGCTTGGGCCGTGCGCGTGCACTCTTACACGAGCATCATCACCACGTCCGCGTTATTGGGGGGCTGCTCATACGGCAGGAGACCCTCAACGCGCATGACCTGTGGTTTGCATTAGGGGCTCGACCGGCCATGTCAGAGGAATTTCAAGCTTATCTGGAGAGTTAAAAAACAAAGTGAAGGAGAATACAAGTGCTTAAGGAGGGGAGAAGAAACATAGTAATTGATCGTCTTTTTTTCCTGACATGCGCATTGTACGCAGTTCAATAGGAGGGGTGGTATGGATACGTCAAACGTGTGTGTCATTGTTAAAAAGAGTGCGTGTGCCATTATTCCATTTTTTCTTTATCTGTTGCCAAGGTTTAGGGGTTAAATAACAGCAACAAGACAACATTTTTACTGCTCAAAGCAGCAGCCAATTGGCATTGCCACTGCATTGTTTTTTTTTGACCAGCCTTGAATGCCCCTGCTCGGGGGCCTGCGGCTCAAGGAAGTGGCTGCGGGGCCGTTGCGAATACAAACTCCACCCTCTGCACGGGGGTTTGCAATTGCTATGGGGCAAAAAAATACGCAGATCGGGACTCGAACCCGAGACCTTCGCCGTGTTAAAGCGACGTCATAACCACCTAGACCATCCGCGCTTGCCTCGACACCGTTTAGACACTAGGAAATCATCAATACTAGAAATTTTTGCTTCAAAAGGAAGCCCAACGGCTCTCATAGCTCAGTTGGTTAGAGCGTGGGTCTAATAAGCCCAAGGTCACAGGTTCGACCCCTGTTGGGAGCACTTT